GCATGCGACGCCGCCGCTGTCTTCGCAGGGTGGTGGCCGTTGGGGTGGAACAGCTGCAGCTCAAGGTCACAGGTCCCCGGATTCTCCCCTTGGCGGGGGAGGGCAAAGGAGATGGAGGCGCAGGACGGGGTGGGGTGGGGTGGGTAACAGAAGCCCCTCAGGGATATCCCCCAATCCCCCCCAGATTGCTGCACTTGCAGAGGCCTGCCAGACCCTGTGCTACCCGCCCTGTGGGCTTTGTTTCCAAAAGTTAAATTTAAAAGGTATTCAGAGGTCACATAACGGTTATAAAGCACATTTCTCCTCTAGGCCACATGCTGTCCCTGCTGCTGGTCCTCGCAGGCCTGGGCCGGCTGAGCTCCGGCCAGCGTGAGTGCCGCACCTGCCAGGGCCAGGGCCGCCCTTCCCGCTCGGGGTGCCCTCCTTGTCCCAGAAGCTCGGCCGGCCGGCTGGTCTGTCGGGGAGGGGAGAGGGCGCAGGCCCGCCCCAGCTGCAGAGCCGCAGGAGGGCAGAGCAGGGGCAGCTGTTTCTTGCTGCTGGACCTCGCAGCTGAGGCCTGCTGTCCCCTGGGGAGGTGGGGGAAGGAGGGACACTGGGTGGGGTCGGAAACCTCCAGCCCCCGCTTACACGGGAGACTCTCCCTGGGATTGGACAGAGTACTTTATTTTTATTTTTTTGATGTGTGTACGTGTATGAGTGTGTTGGAAATGTAAAGAGTGATGTGAGATGAAGAGCACAGGTGAAGTATGAGGATGCTGCTGTTCGCCTGGAAGGCTCTCACACAGGTTTTTCCTTACTACAGATTCTGAAACACAGTTTCTGCAAATTACAGTGCCACAGAAGATTGAGACAAACACCAGTGATGGCGATGTTTCAGGAATGCATGTAATTAAGAAGCCACTTTAAAAATATTATAGATGTTTTATTCTTGCTTAACTACATGGTCCTAATTCAGTAGTATCCCTTTGTGAAATTTCATTTGTTGTTCTAATTTACTGTGCTGAAGAGCTGTTTGGCCTGAATGAGAGCAAATGTTTGATTTTATTTTTTCATTTGTCAATACCTGAATGACGTATAACTATTTTAAAACAGAGACTCAGAAAAAATGCCCCAAATTCCTGTAACAAAATTTTATATACGGTTTATTGGACCCTTTTAGAAAACATGTACATTTAAATGTGTATTTTTATATATTAAGGTCATACTAATATTTACCAAGTAATATTATTTTAAAATGGCAGTATATGAAAATATCTCCATGCCTAAATTTGCATATAAATGTATGTATAAATCCTTTGTAAAAATGGAAGTAATGCCATTTTAATCTGATTAAAATAATAAGGTGTGTACATGATAAAATTAAATTTAGATTAGTACAGAGAGTTGTAAATGAAGTGAATGTCCACATCAGGCTCCAAATATAGAAGAGCTGAATATGTGAATATTTAGAATGCACACACATGTTCACATATATTTTAATGATCATATATGAGTGTTATTTTCTTTTTCATTTATTTATAAAGTTGGATTTACTTTTAAGATGATAAATATAGCTCTTTCATTTTCATATAACTGCCTGTTATGTCATATACATGTAATACCATATTTTATCAAATTTTTGGCATGTGGATAGTTTCATAAACATTCCTGGATCATGTTTTTTTTATAAGATCACTGGGCAAGCCTGTAAATTTTTTGAGTATATATTACAAAATGTCTTTTGGAAAAGTTGCATTGCATATGACTCTAACTAGCAAACAATGATGATGCATATATTCTTGATACCTCACCAGACTTTGTTCAATCTTTTTATCTCTGCTAATGTGAGCATCCTAGTGAATGTCCCCTTAGAGTATATTTTGGTCAAGTTTTAAAGATGCTGTGCCTTTATGTGTTCTATATTAACTATTTGAATTTTTTTTTTGTTCATTTCTTATTGATTTTGACTTCTCTTTTACTAAGTTTTACCAGTTTTGGTTAGGACATTGTATTTTGAGGAAGGAAGAAGTATAGATTTAATTTTAGTAGGAAGGTCTGAAAAGAATATTGAAATGTCAACTGAAAAACTCTCAGACACTAAGGCAAGTTTTATAGTCTGTGTGGTCTGTCTAACTCTCTGGTACCAAAAAAAGTCTAATGATTATGTATTTATAAAGATACTACAACAAACCATAAGTATTTAGAGTTTAAAATGTCTTGGAATTCATACTGTATAGTTGGAAAATGCTAACCAAGAAAAAAGATGATTATCCATGGTAACATCAGAAAAACAACAGCAGATAGTACACACACACAATTTTGAGGGATAAAGGTAAGCAGTATTATGTAATGATAAAATATTTAGCTCACTAGGAAAATCTAACAATTATAAATTTTCATGAATTTAATAAAATACCCTCAGCATATATAATGCTAAAACTGGTAGCACGAGAGGGAGAAATCATCAGATCCATTTTTGCAGTGCAATCTTAGAATGTTTTGCTCAAATGCTGGTTGGAAAATCATAAAAATACTGATAAAGAAATATGAACAAAAATAAATATGTTAGTCAATGGACACATATGGAATGTGAACCCAATGAGCTGAATGCATTGCATTGTTTTCTCTAGCTCTGGTATTTTGGGGATCTCACTGGAGTCTACAGAGTATCACACATTTAAGGCTTCTATTTGATGACAATGCATATAGTGTAACAAGAAGACAATTCAGGAAAGCATCAGCAACCAAAAAACATAAAAAAACATCCACAGTGAGATCTCTGTGAGCCCTATCTTTTTGCTCCTGGAACTTGCTGAGTCTCTGGCTTTTACCAATGAGATGTGTGGGAAGAATTTTGGCTTTGGGGAACTCACCTAGAAGGTTTCATTGACTCTTGGAGTAGCCAAGCCAGCCTTGTGAAAATAGACAAACATTGAAGAAGTTAACTTGGCTAGGGTAGTTTTGTCCCCTAAAAAGCCCACTAAAAATCTCACTACTTTTGTCTTGGCCAAGAGTCAACAACATCCAGACTTATATGCACCCCCAGAAATAAAGATAGAGTTTTTCTAATCCAGTTGTAATTCAGCTCAATCTCCACTGTAAATAAAGTGCACTTTTCTTGAGAATATGTAAAACATTGAACAAAATGTTGATGATAGCAAAGAGAGAAAATTAAAAATCAAATACAGATAGTATAAAATTCATTATCTGGTAACAATTCTATTAAGGTAAAATTTAACAAAAGATGGGAAAATTCATTTGGAAATTTGCAGATGCAGTTCCGTACATTTTATGGGTTGAAGAAGAAATCATAAATAATAATGGATATTATACCATAGATAATGGACAAGAATTAATCAGTTACCTGCAGAAATTTGAGTTATGGTCATAACTTATGACTAAAAATATTTAAATAATGGAAATAACATATTAATAACATATTCAGTGAGACAGACTAAAGAAAAAAGAAGGAAAATATGTAATATTTGAAATGAAAACATATACTAAACAATAAATATAATGATGAAAATATGCCTATAAATTATAATTTAAGGAAAATACTTAAATTTATGAAAGTATATCTTAACAAAGCTTACATAAGTTGAAATAAACAGTATTAATAATACTCATGTCTTATTTTAAAAAGTGAAACCTTACTGAAATCCTATCCCTCACTCCCATTGCAGATTATATTATTAGAGAAATGTGTATAATTTTATCAAAAGGCACAAATCTGAAATTTCTTTTCATGTCTGAACTCCTGTTTGCACTATCTCAGATCATACTCCTCAGAAACTTCTGTTGCCTTTTTCTGCTATATCCAACTCTAACTTCAGATGAAAGAGATCATACAGTACCGGTAGCACTTCTTTGTGTGTATGGCTTCTTCATTCAACCTACTATTCTTGTGATTTGTCTGTGTTGTCTCAGGTTTCAGGTGTTTCATACATTTAGTAATTGTATGGTATCTTAAAAGTTGATTTTTAACCTCTTGTTAGATAATCGTCTACAGTTTGTAAACATTACAAATAAATCTGCTATAAAGAAACAAATATTTCATTGCTGTGTGCTTTCATGAGCATATATCTAGTAGGGAAATCTGGTTTATAGAGTAAGAGCAGAAATGTAGAAATCTGGTAAATTGTTTCTTAGTGTGGTTATTATTATACTCTTTTGCCTTTCCATTAGCAGTGCATGAGAGTTTTAGTTGTTTCATTTTTTTTTATAATACTTGGTATTCTCAATCTTTGATTGTTGACAATGTGTTTATTTTATTTTTCTCTATCTTTCTTGGATTATTTTGCATCCCAGGATGAATAGTGATGATGAGTGACTTGTTGAATATTTATGGGCCAGTCGGATATGAATTACAAATATCACTCTCCCTTGTAGGGATTGTCTTAAGTTTCTTGATGGTGCCTTATAATGAACAGTAGTTTTTAATTTTGATGTTATCCATTTAATCAAATATTTACTTTATAGCCATTTTCAATCTATTTAAGAATTATTTGCCAACTCAAGGACATGGAAATATTTTAGTGTATTGTCTGTGAAAAACTTCATAATCTTGGTTTCAATATTTGTGCGTGTGTGATCGTCTCTAAATTTTATTAATGCACAAGGCACAGGCATACTTCTATGACTTTATTTATTCTCATACAAGTATCTATTGACCTAACTCCATTTACAGAAAATACCTTCCTTTTTCTCTATTTAACTAAATAGGCACCTCTGTTGAGAAAAAGACATTTTTATGGATTTATTTCCAGAATCTTAATTCTTTCTAAGTGATGACATTAGAGGACATTATGCTACGTGAGACAAGCAGACACAGTTTATATGTGTCGTTATATCGTATGCATCAAGTACACTTTAGGGGTACATACAAATTTTATATGTCAGTGATATCCCAATAAAGTTGGATTAAATAAAAATGCCTTAAAAAGTTCTTCTAGAAATAAGAGGGACCTTTATTATTGATAGAGGGACCAATTTATCATGAAGGTATCACTGTACTAAATCTATTTGTAACAGCAAAACGTCACTACGTGGGAGGACTTCTACTTAAATGTGAGCTGTCACAGGAAGTTGTGGCTTTGCATGAGATGACCCTGTTTAGCTGAGGCAGTTCTCAGAGGGATCAGGGAGACAAGGATTATCTCTGGGTAGCATTTCTGGTGACTAGGGGATCATTCTTGTATTCTTAGCTTAGGGAACCTGCGCTGCATTATTTGATTTCAATTTATTTGTGCTGGAAACTGCAAAGTAGAACAAGATAACAAAATTCAAGTTTCTGCTAGTAGTATTCAGCATTTCTAAATGTAATCTTCCTTTTAAATTCATGTCTCATTATGATAGTTAATAAATGCTAATGACTAATGGTCTTAGATTTGAAACAGATTTAGACTTCTTGATTTTATTTAAATATAATTGAGTAATTCTGTCATACATCCAATTTTGATATATGCAAGATATAATTACATTTATATGAAAAAGTATATACATTTCAAAGAATTATAGGCTTTTACTTTTAAGAAGTTAGAATTTCTAACAATTATATTCTCTCTGAATACTTTGTTACAGATCACTTATCTCATCAAAATTGAAGGGAAAACATACACTTTCCATCTTGAAAAACAGTAAGTGGCCATTTTTTTAAGTTCAGTTATTTTTAGTGTATCTTAAATTTTTACAATACTGCCCTAAATTGAGCTTAAAGAGGAGAATAAATATATTTATTTAACATGTTCTGTTTTCTCTGAGTTTCATCTTAGACTTGAATTTCAAGTTGTCATTTTAAATTGGATAATCTAGCTATATTCTAACTTAATGATGTAAATATTAATTCATGTCAGACAAATGAAATTATTTAACTCCATAAAATACAACCATAAATGTAGCATTTAAGAGTATAATTTTTATTTGTACAGGTTCAATATTTTTGATATCTGCACATGTCATTTTGTGTATTTATATGATTTTAAGCATTTTACTTGATATTCCACATGTTAAAGACAAGTTAAAATGTAGACCAGGCCTGAAAAATCCCTGACAAACAACACCAGCTTGGTCTTAAAACCAGCTACCTTTAACCTTGCTTAAATGGCAAACATAAGTGAAATGTGACTTAGGTCATTTCCAGAAAATGCTTGTGTTAGAGAAAAACAAAGGGGAATCTCATTCAATCAAACGCAGCCAACTGACCAGGGACTTTCCAACAAGGTAAACCAAAACAGGAAACATTTTTTATATCTTTGACCAATGAAATAATTTCTTTGTTATAGTTTTGTATTCACCAGATAAATCCTCCGCCTAATGCTTTCTCATTGGAGCCCTAAACCTCTTTTAGTTTCATGGCTTCCAATTCATAAATTGCCATTTCCAGAAATGAAATCCATAAATTTTTATTGTGCCTCCAATTCCTCTTTCAACAACTTAGTGTCAGACAAGTGGGTTCTGAAGGAGACACCCCGTGGCCCCAGTGAGCATCTCAGTGCCAGGTGAAATATACTTGCTGGGCCCATTGTTTTCACATTTTTCTCCCTGCATTTGGTGGCCGCTGGGTAAGTCCCTACTGGATTGCTGATCTCTGCAATTTGAGTCCTGTGTTGAATTTCAGTAATTTTATTCCAGATTGGACCCAGAGGTTGGATTGGGATTTAACAGGACCTAGACTAGGTCCATTACAGTGTACTTGCTTCCAGAGTAGGTCTGGAACCCAGGTTAGGGTCCAGAGGCTGCACTGCAGTTTGCTATAGACTGAAGTCCAGCTGGAGGCCAAAGGTAGGTGAAATTTAAAAGGAAGGGTATTATGGGCTCATTAGTATCTAAGGAGTCTCAACTTCTCTGTCTGGAACTCTAGCTAATTCTGGGTTTAGAATTATGGACTGAGAACCTAAGCCTTTCTACAGAAATGGGTGTACCTCGTCAGAGATGATTTAGAATTTGTAGTGGCCACAGTGGGGAAATTTTAATCTAGATTAAATTGTTCATATAAGGAACACATTGAAAACAAAGGAGTCCTGAACACCTCAGAAACAATGGGATGCATTTTTTTATTGGCATACAGTGGCTTCTAAAAGATAATCATTTCAAAACTGCCTTTCTAAAAGACTCCTTACAAAAGGCTAATAAAGTAAATGAAAAACTTACACGGCAGATTGAAGGGAAAGCTAAGAAAAGATAAGTGGTGACTGATGTGATGCTGACTGTTAACATTTTTAGTCCTCCCCTACTCAATACTTCTGAGCCCATCCCATTTGCTCAGTCACCATCCTGGCCTGAAAACTGCCAATCCTTTTGCTCAAATGCTTTTTCACCCTGGGGACAATGAGAAGAAGGAAGTTAACCTGATGACTTACAAACTTAGGCTCTCAGAACAGCCAGATATGGGTGTTACTTTATTCTGTGGCCAAAATATGAACTCAGAGCCATAGCAAAAGAATTTCCAAATAGAGAAATTCCATGAATATATTCTGAAACATTTAGAATCCTCATATGAGCATATATATGACCCCGGGCTTCCTGAGCTGTATCAGTTGATACACATGACATTAGGGACCCCGGGAAGCAAGTAAATGTATGGCCACTGCAGGGGGATACGTCTACAGAAAGTATTGCTGACCCTTCAAAAGCTGTATCTTTTGGGATGGCCCAAAAGATGCCAGAAAAACAACTAAAGAACTTTTAGAAGCTATTCCTATTTTCTTTCTACAAGAAAACTGATTGGTCGTTTATTCAATTATGCAAACAGAAAAAAAGATAAATTAGTTTTTGACTATAGGTCTAGATTGGAAATTTCATTTGTTAAAGCACTTCATACTGAAAATATACCATGGAATATTTTCTGCCAGAAATGGAAATAGGCCTTTTAGCCTTATTCATTCATGGGCTTCAGCCAGAGCTTGTTGACCTAATTAAATAAAAGTATACAACTGGATGGGAAGTCGCTGATATGGCTGAATTGGTGATCATGGATGGATACTTTGAGAGAACTTTAGAAAAGAAAAAATATGAGGGTCTGAAAGAAAGTAATCAAAAGGCTAGGAGAAAAAAATGGCGGAGTAGGGGTGCCCTCCTGGCTCTCTGCTCCCAGAGTGAAAAGTGAAGAAAGCGGATAGCCACACTCGAGTGATCTGTACTTCCAGGAGACCAGCTTCCCAAGCCTGCAGACATTCAAGAGGAAACGGAGGGATATGACCATTTGCAGCCTAAAGCAAAGGTGAACCGATCATTCTTCCGCAAAACTGGGGGATTCGGAGGCACACATCAGGGAGGGAGCGAGGCGCAGCTTAAGCTGCTGCCAGCTGGCAGTGGCGCCAGCCCTACCCTGTGCTGAGAAACACCCCCTCCCACACCGAACTCCACTTCCACGTAGGCCAGGAGGTGCCTGAAGTTGGTGAGAAGTGGCAGCGCGGGACTAAACCGTGTGGAGAGGAGACTAGAGCAGGGAACGCGCTGAGTCGCCAGAGCGCACAGCAGCCGCAGTTTAAGGTGGGGGAGGGTCCGCGCAGCAGGAACCAGAGCCGGCTCGGGCATCTCCCTGCAGAACACTCCCAGATCAAGGTCAAGGGGAGTTTACACAGAAGGAGGCTTTGACTTTGGATATAGAGGAGGTTTGGGATAGCACTGAGAGGTCAGAGTGCGCAAAGTTAGACTCCTTGATCCATTAGGACGCCCTCCCTCTGCCCCTACGGCACCGCTCCGCCCCTGCATTCCAGTGCTGACTGGGCATTCCAGCGCTGACTTGGGCTGGGGGTTTGGAGAGGAGGCGCAGAGAGAGCGCCGGTACGTGCCACTACTCCACCAATTTGATATTGGACCGTCATTTGCTGCACAAGCGGCACTGACTCTGTGCTCAGAGAGTGGACCCTGCCTGGACGGGGCAGTGCTACAGGGGAGATTGCCCTTGGCGGATTTAAGGGAGAGAAACATTGCCTTCCACACTCTCCTGCAACCCGGAGCCCCGCCCTGGGCTCCAAAGTCTCTGTCCCAGCCTTGAGGGCAGAGCTGAGATAGAAACTATTCTCATTCCTGCAGCTGATCTCCACCTGGGTAATTACAAAGGCAGAAGTCAGGGATATGTGGGTGCCATTGACTGCCTGCCTGCCCCTTCTAGTCAGTCTCACCCTGCACAGGTCTCCTGCACTGTGCCCAGAGTGTGGAGCCCGCCTGGGCAGAGCTGGGCCTTGCAGGAGGCAGCTGTTAGTGGTTATAAGGCAGAGATATTTTACGACCCCCACATCCGAGGATTTGAGGCTAGGCCTTTGGCTCCAAAGTTTGTATCCCCACCTTGGGGGCGGGGCTGAGATAGAAAGTGCTCCCGTTCCTGCCGCTTATCGCCACCTGTGGAATTAAAGAGATAGAACACGGGGCCTGGTGGGTCTGGCTGCAGGACAATATCACTGCACAGGTCTCCCGCGCTCTGTGTCCAAAGTGCGGAACCCACCTGGGCAGGCCTATTCTCGAAGGAGGCTGCCCTTAGCGGCTATAAGGCAGAGAGACCTCATGTCTATCACCGTCCGTGTCTTGTGACTGAGCCTTGGCTCCAAAGTCTCTGTCCCCGCCTTGGGGGCAGAGCTGAGATAGGAACTGTTCTCATTCCTGCCGCTTATCTCCACCTGTGGAATTAAAGAGACAAAAGACAGGGATAGGTGGGTCCCATTGACTGCCTGCCTGCTTCTGGTCAGTCTCTCCCTGCACAGGTCTCCTGCGCTCTGTGTCCAGGCCCTGGAGTTTGCCTGTGCAGGAACAAGCCTAGTAGGTGGCTGCCTTTGGTGAATACAAGACAGAGAGACCTTACAACCCACACACTCTGGTGACTTGGAGCTGGGCCTTCGGTTCCAAAGTTTCTAGCCCCGCCTTGGGGGTGGAGCTGAGATAGGAACTGCTCCAGTTCCTGCCATCTATCTCCACCTGTGTAATTAAGGGGGCAGAAGACGG